AACTTTGCAAGCATGTATTTATTACAAGTATATAGCACTGTCCATTTACACAAATCCTTACTTACGATTCACATCAGTCCCTACCTGTAGGAACTTACAATCTAAGGTCCCTATCTCATACTCACACATAATTTAAAGCCAATTTAGACAGGAGCCATTAAATCTACCAGTATGTCTTTAGAGTGTGGAAGGAAAACGGAGTACCCGGAGGAAACGCACGCAAGCACAGGGAGAACATGCAAACCCTATCAGGTTTTTTTTTTTTTTCCACCTGTGTCCCATTGGGGAGATTTACCCTCACTTCCTGTTTTGCAGCCAAAACAGGAAGAGTGAGGAAATCCCTGCAAATTAAGGGAATCCCTTGGTGCTCCCATGTCAGCAGACCTAGTTTTCCCATTGGAAGATTTCCCCTCTATTACTGTTCATGCTACAACTCAAAATGTGTGATATTCACTTTCAATGACGATGGGTAACAGGAAAAATAGAGTGAATCTTGCTAAGGGGGGGGGGGGGGGGGGGGGGAACAGGCAGAAATAAAAACCTGAAACGGGTTCTAACCCCTATCCACTGTATCCAAATCTAAAAAAAAGTTTTGCCTTTTAGTTATACTTTAAGCCCTTGGTGCTAGCACCTCCTGGCCCTTTAAGGGTTTTGTGACACCAGGGGGGCATGGGGTTTAGGGTCATGTGACCGCCATGATTGGCTTTCACGGCAGTCACATGTTTACATTGGGTACGCGAATATGTGGCCCCTTGGCGCCAAGGCCCAGCTGCTGAGAGGCCCCATATTTGCGTGCGCTCTGCTCCAACAGGTTAAATCAAGGACCTGACTGCTGCAAAGTAGGAGTGCTAACAACTAAGCCACTGTGCTTATTATGAATTTAGCTATTTGCCTGTAAACATTTCATTCTGCACTAAGAAACAATAATTACTGTGTTGTATAAAGAGGTTTTCTAGTCTAGTTCTAGATATGTCCAGTTTCTGCATGACTCTTGCTAATTACTAGGTGAAGGTGCCACTTCCTACTGGATGTACGCTTTCATGTTCTCATTGAAGGTGACTGAGCTCCCACTCCACCATAATATTGTTACTTTATGATGTTCACCTGACCTCACTGGTCATGATGTTATATTTTGCACAAGTTATAAGCAAGTGGAGCTGTTCCTGAATAATGTTTCCAGTTTTTGAATATCTCTTGCCAGGGAGAGAGAGGACAAATTCAGAGCTGCAAGTAAGAATACCAGTAGCCATGTTAAACATCTGATTAGACTACCAAGAGGACTATAGAAATACTTTTTTGGACTTTCTTGTTCCCTGTACTTGTCCTAGGTCACTGACTCAAAATATTACATTCAGTGTGTCAATATAACAGCCAGGCAGCTGGCATTTTCAGTAGGTCAGAAATAATAGCCCCTGTAGGACAGATTTATCTGGACACAGAACTCCAGTCTGCATTGTTGGTACATATCTTTGCTGCAGAGCGGGCTCAACTTCTTTTTTTTTTTTTTGTGTTCATTACAGATCAATGTCCTGCATGCCGGGCAACTTTATTTACAATGGCTTATTAACAATGGCTTTGTGACATCAACTCTTATGTAGCCTGTTGGTGCCAACTGTTATATTTATGCCTCTCTCTAGTTCATCGTAGATAATCTACAGATGGAGCCACTGCAGCCAGTGGTCTTTACTATTGGCCCAAACAGCACAGCAGTCGTGCTCCCAGCAGTTTGAACTGCACAGAGTTTTGGGACATGTAGTTCATGTGTTGCCTCTGCTCCCTGCCCACCACCATACCACAGGATGATGAAAAATGGAACTGAATGGTCACATTACTGCAATGTTACATTTCAAAAAAACGTATTTGTCTAGATCAGTGTTTCTCAACCTTTTTTCAGTCAAGACCCTTTAAAATTCTGCACAATTTCAAGGCACCCTTCAAAATACTGCACAATCTTGAAACACCCATTAAAATTCTAGGGTAGCACAGTGGCTAAATGGTTAGCACTTCCGCCTGGCAGTACTAGGGTCGTTGGTTAGAATCCCAGCCATGGCACCACCTGCCTGGAGTTTGCATGTTCTCCCTGTGCCTGCGTGGGTTTCCTCCGGGTACTCCGGTTTCCTCCCACACTCCAAAGACATGCTGGTAGGTTAATTGGATCCTGTCTAAATTGGCCCTAGTATGTGTATGTATGAATGTAAGTTAGGGACCTTAGATTGTACACCCCTTGAGGATTAGGGACTGATGTGAATGTACAATATATATGTGTAAAGCGCTGCGTAAAATTTACGGCGCTATATAAGTACCTGAAATAAATAATAAATAAATTCTGCACAATCTTGAGCCACCGTTTAAAATTTTGCACAACCTTGAGCCACCCATTAAAATTCTACAAAACCTTGAGGTACCTTTTAAAATTCTGCACAATCTCGAGGCACCCATTAAAATTCTGCACAATCTTGAGCCACTATTTATAATTCTTACAACCTTTAGGCACCGTTTAAAATCTGCACACTCTTAAGGCACCGATTAAAATTTTGCCCAATCTTGAGCCACAATTTATAATTCTGTACAACCTTGAGACACCCATTAAAATATACTGCACAATCTTGAGGCACCCAATAAAATTCTGCACAATCTTGAGCCACCGTTTATAATTCTGCACAACCTTGAGGCACCCATTAAAATTCTGCACAAAATTGAGGTATCCTTCAAAATACTGCACAATCTTGAGGCACCCATTAAAATTCTGCACAATCTTGAGCCACCATTTATAATTCTGCACAACCTTGAGGCACCCATTAAAATTCTGCACAATCTTGAGGCACACATTCAAGGCATTCTGCACAATTTTGAGGTATCCTTCAAATAATACTGCACAATCTTGAGGCACCCATTAAAATACTGCACAATCTTGAGCCACCGTTTATAATTCTTACAACCTTGAGGCACCCATTAAAATTCTGCACAATCTTGAGCCACCATTTAACCTCCCTGGAGGTATTCCCGAGCTACACTTGGGCTTACCATGCGGCACTGCTCCGCGATCCCTCGATCACTTACCTTGTCCTGCGCTCCCGCGATGTCCCTCCTGCAGTGTCCCCGCCAATGTAATCCGGCGGATGCCGGCATCTGTCATCTGGGTTCCCTCCCTTGCGAGCGTCGGGACGTACGGGGGACGGAACGGCGGCGGGAAATTTAAAAATGACAAAAAGTGACATTCACTAAAATCACATAGTAAAACATTACTGTATCAAAGCATTTCACATACATTTTGTCCCTAGTGCTTTGTCCTGTGCCCTGCCTACGTTTTGACTGTTCTTTCTGCCTGGAAACTGAGAAATGTCCATGGCGTCCAAAAAGCGTCCCTTTAGGTCAAAAGCAGTTTTAGACCAGCTAGAGAACAGCGATAGTAAATTAGAACTACTTGCAGAATTGAGTGATAATGATTCGTGGGGAAATTTGTCATCAGACACTGAAAACGATTTTGCGACTTTGCTCAGTGATGTGTGAACTTGACGCTATATTTCAAATTTCAGTGTTTTTGGTTTGATTATATTATTGAATTAAATTTATTATTATTAAATTATTATTTTTTTTATGATTATTTATTAAATTATAATTTATGATTTCGTGTTTCAAGTTTTATCCTACCCGAAATGTTTACTAGACTCTTGTTCGAACAGATTACAGTGCGTTATTCCTAAAAATTACAGGTCTACAATAAAATAAAATACATATTTCCATGCAAAAAAATGTACCGCTTTGAGCACAGAAATATGGACACGATCAGACCGCTAGGGAGGTTAAAATTCTGCACAATCTTGAGCCACCATTTATAATTCTTCACGACCTTGAGGCACCGTTTAAAATTCTGCACAATCTTGAGCCACCATTTATAATTCTTCACGACCTTGAGGCACCGTTTAAAATTCTGCACAATCTTGAGGCTTCCTTTAAAACTCTGCACAATCTCAACGCACCCATTGCAAACAGTAAAAAATGGAAACGAATAGTTTTACAGAATGCAGCATCATCTGCACGTGGGACACCCAACATCAGAGGTGATTTATTCTTGTAAAGCATATACACCTTTGCACACTGGTACTGACTAGTATTCCATTGTTTCTCTTCTTCACTTTCTTTCTCTCACTCAGCTAATGTGTCCCCAGTGCTGATGGAGAGGAGCAGGGGAGGGGGCAAGCAAGGATGCTGTGCAGGTGCCCAATGTGCTTCTTATCAACTGATGATATCATTGTTTTTTTTTTTGTTGTTGGCAGCTACACAGTTGTAATGGTGCACAATGAAACCCTGTAGCTTTGTGTAACTAAAAGGCAGGCTTGATCCACCCACTGGGTTGTATACAATTTTTGGGCAATTTGTAGGCATTTTGCTAAGGCACCCCTGAAGATACCTGAAGCCATCCCAGGGTGCCTGGATACCCTTATTGAAAAAGGCTGCTCTTGATATTTTACCATAAAGAGGTAGTGGAGGGCACTGGAGGAAGCAATTACTTATCTGGAATTTAGCTTTAAAAAAAATTACATGAATCCAGCAAAGTTATAAAGCATTTTTCTGGGATGATTATTTAGTGCAAAAAATATTAGATACATATGATACTAAGGGTATGATATACTCACACATACTGTGTATCTGTGTGCTCCAGCAGATGCTTCTCAATACCATTTCAGAATCCAAGTTTCCACACAATAATCTAACATTTTTAATATTTAATAAGATGTAAAATTAAAATAGGACACTTAATCCTTGATGTCATCATCTACATGGAAAACCTAGTCATGTGTTACTTTGGCAGGTCAGCTGGTGACATTCTTAAATTTTCCTATTCTGTAATCATTGTTGGTAGTGAACTATTATGTTCCAGGTCATTTCCTCATTCTAGTTGGTAGTGAAGGGAGACTATAGATTTAAGCTTTGCTGTTTAATTGGAAAAGCATATCAGTAAAAAAATCTCATGCTACTCTTTTTCTGAAGGAGACAAGATGGCAGAAGCTCACCAGGCTGTGGCCTTCCAGTTTACTGTGACTCCTGATGGTATAGATCTACAGCTGGGACGTGATGTTCTCCGACACCTCTACCTGTCTGGGCTGATTGCCTGTAGGAAACGACTCATCACTCTTAAGGTGAGTGATCTGTACTTATATCTGGTAATCTAGAAAATTGATAAAGCAAAAGTCAGTAGCTAAAATAGGTATATGCTGCAATTCCTGATGCAAAATCACCAGATATATTCAGGGTATGCACAAGCCATGCATGCAAAACTGTTGCATTAACAAAACACTTTATAGTTTTTGCGCCAGCTTTGCTTACAGTACATACTGTGTTTGGCTGCACAGATTTCTTGTGATTTGGAAAGAGAGAAACTATGTGTGACAGGTACTAATATGATCAAATAAACATAAAAATGGCACTTGAATTAATTTATTGTTTCTGAGTTCTGTGAAAGTCTACGCTGCATAATCTGCAAGCAAGTCTGAGTTTCTTTTCACTTGATCTTGTGCAAATTTTGATGATTTTTAAGCTTTTGTTTAGAATTTTAAATTGTTAAACTAATGCCTACAGCTATTTTTACCATTTATATAAAATCTTTGTTTTACAAACAAACATTTAATACAGGGTGTATTCATACCATAGAATTCCCAAAGCATTATTATACAGGTTTTATATAGTGCCAATAGTTTGCGCAGCGCTTTACATCGTGAGGGCTGACAGTACAGTTACAATGCAATTAAATACAGGAGGAGTCCGAGGGCCCTGTTCGTAAGAGCTTACACTCTAAAAGGGAGATTATTATGGTTATGGTTCTCTAAGGAGAGCAAAGTAGAAGCTGTATACCTTCACACTCTCTCACCCTGATTACAATTTGGTATGAGCTGTTTGTATACAGCAAGCAGGGGCACTGACTAATTCACTTGTGTGTATAAATTTCAGCTTGAGCTATTTGGCTCTGAAACAAGCATTTCCCAACCCAAAACAAGTGTTACTAGTCCAGAAACATGGGAAAAGGGGCTTATGAGAATACAAAACATTCATAAGCAATGTTCCATTTTTTACTGGACCAAAAGAACAAAAAAATACTATGTTTTAGTAACCTTAATAAAAGAAAATCTGTACAAAGCCACTATGCGTTTCATTAAAGACTGAGGTATCTCAATGAACAACATTTATGCATGGCTCTGAAATTGTGAGTGCATTTTTTCTTTTTTTCCGCAGTTTTGATGGGTTTTCCATTCATTTCAATTGCAAGGTGCGTTTGTGTTTTTATGTTTTTTTGTTTTTTTTTTTACCACACCATAACATTTACCAAAATGCAGAATGCAGGACTTTTAAAAATGCAACTGACCCGCTACTGACTGGTGTGAAGAGCTCCATAGGATTTTTATTTTTTACCACAGCATAACATTCACCAAAATGCATAATGCAGGACTTTTAAAAATGCAAATTACAGCTACTGACTGGTGTGAAGAGCTCCATAGGATTTAATGGTCATGTAGTTTTATTCTGCTTTTGGTAAAGCAAAAACAGAAAAAATTTTGATCAGTGTGAAAGCAGCCTTAGGCTATGTCCCATATAATCTGTTCAAATATTGAACCTCCTAATGCTGACCTAACTTCTGAAACCTTTAGTTGCCTATCATGCTGATCCTTTAGCTGCAATACTTTAAAGTATAACTAAGGGCAACAATGTTTTTTCTAGTTTTGGATAACTTGGAGAGGGATTAAAACACCTTTCAGGATTTTATTGCAGGATTCACCCTCTCTACTATTACAAAATTTTGATTGTCCCCAGAACAGGAATAGAGGGGAAATCTTCCATTGGGGACACTAATTCTGCGACAACCTGGGTTTCCTTAATTTGGGAGGAATTTCCACTCACTTCCTGTTTTGACTGTGGGACAGGAAATGAAGGGGAATCACCCCTATCAGACACGGATGGCCAAAAAAATGGACAGGGGTAATTACCCTGTATTACACTATCCAAAATGAAAAATAAAAAGAGTTTTGCCTTTAGTTTTACTTTGTCACCAGCCACTAGTATGTATGCAGATGAATACTTACGACTTTAACTTTTCTGATCTACATATGTGCTATAATAAATCAGTAATGCCTAAAGGATGTAAGCAATGACAACCACCACATTTCATTCATGAAACGTTTATGTTAAACCTACAGAGAGACATTATTTTTATCCATATTGTGAAAGGTTTTTTTTCTCTGCACTCAGAAAACTGGCAATGCTACTTACATTAATGGCTGTTCTGACAGCACAAATGAATGATCATCTGTGGCCATGGTGGTCAATGGTATACGTGAAATGGGTGGAGAGATTACTTAGGTGATAGCATAGCGCATTCCTTATTTTCTAGGTTGAGGAAAGCTTTAAACTGACTTTCTTTTCTCCCATTTAGAGCTCAGTTCTGAGTGGAGTGTACCCTGCCAGTCCTTCTACATGGTTTGCTGTGGTAGCTGTAACTCTTGGCTCCCTGTATGGAAAGGTGGATGTGTCATTTGGACTCATAACAAAGATCAGCAATCTCTTACCTGGACAGTAAGTAGCAGAGTTATACTGTTTTCTTTATTGTGAATATAACAGAAATTTGCTTTACAAAGTCTATCACTATACCTAGTCCTTTATAAGCATATTCATGAGCGCTCTGATAGTGGAATGCGGATGGCTCTTAATTCACAAAAGAATCCAGAGCTCAGTCCTTTTTTTTATTATTTGATTGCATTGTAGCGGCACACAACATTTTGGGGATGCGTTCCCTTTGCTATGCAAATTCATTCATATTTTGTGTCCTACTACTCTGCAGTCAATTATAGAAAAGGTGTAATTTCCTATTACCAGAACTAAGCCCATCAATTTTAAGCAGAACTAACATTCTGCTGTAACAAACTGTGAGCAGGCAGGTTCTTTTTTCCTGTAGAGACATGCAGTGTCTCTGAAATAAAATACACCTACCTGCCTGGTCACAGTGTTCTCTGACATGTAGTCTGAGTTGTGTATGCATAGCTCAGCTTACATCGCCAGCACGGTGCCTGTGCACTGGGATAACAGATACCTGCGCATGCACAGATGTGATGTCGTCCCATGCTGACCAATGAAGACAGGCGAAGACCGTCACACAGACAAACATGCTGATGCTGGCGTGAGACAGGAACCGTTGAAGTATGTTTAGCTGCTCTTTAATGGTTTCCCAAAACAGTTACATTTAAGGCATGCTGAGGGTAAGACCACTCAGACTGACCCAGGGCTTTCACAGTGCATGGCCTCAGCTAGTGCTGCTCCATCCACACCCCCTGGAGTGTCCCCCCCCCCCCCAGATGCCTCTGTGACCTAGCCCTGGAGGGTGGGGTGAAACGCATCAGTTGGTGTGGGCCGAGCAGCACTGGCTGAGGCCATACACTGTGATAGCATCATGTTGGTCTGAGTGGCGTCTTACCCTTGGTATGTTCACACTTCTGAATTAGTGCACAGACGCCTGCTCCCATACTTTGAACACATGCTGGGAAATCTTTAATCCTCCAGCTGTGAGCGGCACTACAAGCTCAATGTGATTACATTTAAGGCATGTCATAAATGATAACTGTCAGAGTTGTTTTTCTGTCATCTGAACTGTCAATCGATCAATTGTCAGGTGTCAGCTGATTACATTTGCAGCACTATGGCAAATGCTGATCAAAAAAGAGGCAGCTTCCTATGTTGTAAAACATAGGAAAGGTTAAGCGTCTCATTATTACAATTAATATTATTCAGTACTTGTATAGTGCCAACAGTTTGCGCAGCTCTTTACAACTCGAGGGCAGGCAGTACAGTTACAATACATTTGCATACAGGAGGAATCTTCTCAGTTATTTTTAGAATGTCAGTAACCATATAACATACCCACACGATTACATTACATTTTGTCTTGCCTGTAGCTACTCATGAATGTTAGGTATTTTGAGTGATTTACTACACATTGCATTATATCATCTTGCCATTTGACCGACACAGAAGCTGGCTAGAATCTTTCACAAGCAAATACATTGTAATATTTTAAATATCTGGAAGTATAACTCCTGAGAACTCCTGTAGGCAAAGTAGACATGGTTATAAATTGAGAGCATTAGCTAACAAGTGTGGCTATTGAGAATCTGGATATTTCAAAGAATGGGTGGGTTATCCAGCAATGAGAGAGATGAGTACAGCATGTATATGTTGCCGGAAAGAAATACTTTTCAGGCTCACATGAATTAAATATTTACAGTGTTAGCACTTGCTTATGCCACTTTAGCATAGCAGTTGATTATGCCTTTTGTCAGTTACAGGGATATTGTTTTTATCAAACCATTGACACTTCTGGACAGCCCACACTGTTCCATCCCAATCCCCTTCCTGGCCCACCAAGGTGTCTGGGCTGGCTGCTTACTGTGAAGCCTACTATAGAAAGCCTCTGACACTTCTAAAATGTCCAAGGGTGAAGAAAACTACATGGTTATTGCTGACAAAAGGCAAAATAAATTGCTATTGCAAGAGCAGCACCCATAAGTCCCAGGGCCCTTTCACACGGACACAGATCCATAGTACAAAATCCCCAAATTTTGTATCTAAGAACATACAGTGGGGCAAAAAAGTATTTAGTCAGCCACCAATTGTGCAAGTTCTCCCACTTAAAAAGAGATGAGAGAGGCCTGTAATTGGCATCATAGGTAGACCTCAACTATGAGAGACAAAATGAGAAAAAAAAAATCCAGACAATCACATTGGCTGATTTGGAAAGAATTTATTTGCAAATTATGGTGGAAAATAAGTATTTGGTCAATATCAAAAGTTCTTCTCAATACTTTGTTATATATCCTTTGTGGCAATGACAGAGGTCAAACGTTTCCTGTAAGTCTTCACAAGGTTGGCACACACTGTTGCTGGTATGTTGGCCCATTCCTCCATGCAGATCTCCTCTAGAGCAGTGATGTTTTGGGGCTGTCGCTGGGCAACACGGACTTTCAACTCCCTCCAAAGGTTTTCTATGGGGTTGAGATCTGGAGACTGGCTAGGCCACTCCAGGACCTTGAAATGCTTCTTATGAAGTCACTCCTTCGTTGCCCAGGCGGTATGTTTGGGATCATTGTCATGTTGGAAGACCCAGCCACATTTCATCTTCAATGCCCTTGCTGATGGAAGGAGGTTTGCACTCAAAATCTCATGATACATGGCCCCATTTATTCTGTCCTGTACATGGATCAGTCGTCCTGGTCCCTTTGTGGAGAAACAGCCCCAAAGCATGATGTTGCCACCCCCATGCTTCACAGTAGGTATGGTGTTCTTTGGATGCAACTCAGCATTCTCTCTCCTCCAAACACGACGAGTTGTGTTTCTACCAAACAGTTCTATTTTGGTTTCATCTGACCATATGACATTCTCCCAATCCTCTTCTGGATCATCCAAATGCTCTCTAGCAAACTTCAGACGGGCCCGGACATGTACTGGCTTAAGCAGGGGGACACGTCTGGCACTGCAGGATCTGAGTCCCTGGCGGAGTAGCGTGTTACTGAAGGTAGCCTTTGTTACGTTGGTCCCAGCTCTCTGCAGGTCATTCACTAGGTCCCCCCGTGTGGTCCTGGGATTTTTGCTCACCGTTCTTGTGATCATTTTGACCCCACGGGGTGATATCTTGCGTGGAGCCCCAGATCGACGGAGATTATCAGTGGTCTTGTATGTCTTCCATATTCTAATTATTGCTCCCACAGTTGATTTGTTCACACCAAGCTGCTTGCCTATTGCAGATTCAGTCTTCCCAGCCTGGTGCAGGTCTACAATTTTGTTTCTGGTGTCCTTCGACAGCTCTTTGGTCTTCACCATAGTGGAGTTTGGAGTGTGACTGTTCGAGGTTGTGGACAGGTGTCTTTTATACTGATAACAAGTTCAAACAGGTGCCATTGATACAGGTAATGAGTGCAGGACAGAGGAGCCTCTTATAGAAAAAGGTACAGGTCTGTGAGAGCCAGAAATCTTGCTTGTTTGTTGGTGACCAAATACTTATTTTCTGCCATAATTTGCAAATAAATTCTTTCCAAATCAGCCAATGTGATTGTCTGGATTTGTTTTCTCATTTTGTCTCTCATAGTTGAGGTCTACCTATGATGCCAATAACAGGCCTCTCATCTTTTTAAGTGGGAGATTGGTGGCTGACTAAATACTTTTTTGCCCCACTGTATGTATGCCATTGAAAAAAAGAACAGAAAAATGTTTACACAGATCTATTTGCTGATTATTTCCACAGGAACTTTTGTTCCTTGACTAATGATCAGTAAAATTTTCATGGCAGTGTTACGATCATGTAAATGAGGCCTTAAAGTGGAACCATAAGCCCATTCATTTAAGGGCTTGTCCACACCATGGTGCAGAAACATCAGTTTTTATGCAAGGGCACAACAAAATCAACTGTTTTCTATGTGCCCTGTTCACACGACAACACTAATATCACATGCAGATTTTTTGTGCTCAGGAATCTGCAACGTGTATAAAACTCATTAAAGCGCGCATGAAAACTGATGTCTTTGCAAGTGAAATCTGCACGTCAGTTTCCATCAGTTTTTCTGCATATTATGGTGTGAACAAGGCCTCACGGTTTCCCAAAATAGTTACATATAAGGCATGCCGTGAATGATAACTGTCACTGATAATTTTGCTCTCAATCGAAGTGTCAAGCCATAAAATGGCTGGTGTCATCACAGATCACATGTGCAGTACCATGGCAACTGCAGATCAAACAGAGGCTAAAGTGGCAGCTTCCTTGGCTGTAAAGGAAAGGAGTGTTTAGTTTCTCTTTAACTCCAATTCTGCATATCACTATGGTAAATCTTTTTGTGATATTCACTGTATAGTGTATTTCTCTGTTTCTTTTACCATTTGGTTCCAGGTCTGTTCTCACACCTGTATCCCGCACTGCAGTGAGTGCTGTTATCTTCTCTTCTGGAGTTTGGGTCTCTGGAATCCTTCTGTATCGTCAAGTTCTGCGCATGCTCCTTTCATACCATGGCTGGATGTTTGAGCCCCATGGAAAAAGAAGTTTGAAAACAAAGCTTTGGGCAGTAAGTCCTCTATTCTTCTCATAGGATTACCAAATCTTAGACCATCTTAGTATCACACCTTACCACCTTTAAGGCACTGCACACTCCTCATCTTCTTTGTAAAGATGTCTAGAGTGGATTATTTGATAAAGTATATGTGAAAAATAATTTGAGAAGGTAGAAAAACATATTGTCTCTGTATGATACCCTATGTATGTTTAAAGAAGTGGTCAAAAATTAAAGAATATGTTACCCCAGCATTCATATTTATAATGTTTTATTTCTATACACAAACACACACACACTCTGTTGTTTTACAATTTTAAATCTTTTATAAAATTTACAAAAATTGACTCAACTGTATTCCAATTGTTCTATTATTAAGTTGTACATTTTCCAGTCCTTTTAACAAGGACTGGATTTCAGTAAGTTTAGTCTCCCTACCATTACCTAAAAAATTACAACAATTTTTAAATTGCCCTTTAAAAAAATGTTCATTCAATTACCTAACTTGCTTCTCTTTTAGCCCTCTATTTTCCTATTTTAATTTGCACGACTTTCAAACTCTTCCTATCAACATGATTTCATTTTTAAAATGACTTTGTAACTGTCACAGGGGTGTATGAAGGTCATGGCCAGACGACAGCCCATGCTTTACAGTTTCCAGATGTCTCTTCCAAGATTGCCAGTGCCACGCCTAGAGGACACAATAGAGAGGGTAAGAAAACCTTGAATGTTGTTACAAAAAGGTATTGATGGCGCTGTGAAGTTAATGAGGAATTAGAGCTATGTACAGGTTGTCCTGTACGTACCCAGAGCCGATGCAAGGATTTTTGTCTATACAGGCAAAGATGCACTTTTGCTGCATTTGCTCCCCCCTTCACAATGGCAGTGTGTAATGAGGAGGCAGGGTTTTGCATTCCCCACTGGCTACAGGTAGCTGGCAGGCGAAGCAAACTAAAACTCCCACACTGGAGAAAGAGAGCATAGTTCGGTAACAAAAGACTATCTTATTATCCATGACCTCATGGCATAAGTCCTTCTTGTTTATCAGAGCATACAGAAGTATTAGTAACCACTTGAGTATCGCAGCCATTTTTTTTGTTTTTTGTTTACACATGTTAAAAATCATTTTAGACCTGAAGATTGCTTAAATCCCCTAAAATATTATATATTTTCTGAAAGAAATTCCAAGAAAATAAAATGTTGGTTGTTCCAATTTAGCTCTGGTGCTAAAATTATTGCTCCCACTCTGGCATGTGCGATGATATATAACACGTGTAGGGTGAGTGCCGTTTTAATACGTAGGAGTCCCAATATAAGCATTTTTGTATGTGTGTGTTTTGGGGGGGGGGTGAGGGACAGCGGCAAAAAATGTGCAAATTTGTTTTATGTGCCTCTATTTTTTACATGACTCTATATGCATATAGTTCACAGGTCCTCTTTATGAGACATAGTGGGTCTGGATATCTCCTCTGTACTCCACTGCAGCTGGTAGAACATGGATCCACAGATCATGTTCCATCTCCTACTCTTCTGGGCACTGATCCCAGTGATTGACAGAGCCAGTCCAGGAATTGACGTCATACACATTACTTCCTGGTGTGTGCACAGGAGGGAGGCTCAGCGGCAGATGTTTGTTGATCTCCAGATGCTCTTCCCAGTAACATCAGCCATGACCGCAGCGGCCCACAGGTGGGACAACAGAGCCCAGTTTTGCACCTGGGAGTGTGTTAAAAAAACACATGTCTATCACACTAAAGTGGTTACAAATCCAAATCCCCAGCAAGTGGTTGAGGATTTTGGATTTTACCACCCCCCTTCCCATCCTTGCGCCCTAAGCAGCCTTGTGCTGCCGCTGGCCCTGTATGTACCCATGCTCTGATGAACAAGAAAGACTTATGCCATGAGGTCATGGATAACAAGATAGTTGTATTTAAACACTTATGAGAGCTGAGTGGGAAGTTTACCATCATGTTTGTTACAGCAACAATTAGGATTATACCGTCAGTGAATGTTACATTCGCCAAGCATACACTGAACACAAATATTCCTGGTGCATGTGTTCTAAATTACAGTGATTAATTCACTTTCAGTGGATACTTGTTCAATGTTACATTCATTACTTTATATAAATAACACTAAATATTTAGTAATATGAAAACAAAAATACAGAGCCATAATTGATACAAAGAATTTATTTTGTTAGCAAGTTGACGTGTCAGATTTCTAATCATTTTCCTATAATATGGAAATAATTCCTCTGTGTAGGCTGATAATTTTTCTTCCTTGTTTACTGATCGTTAAACTTCAGCCTCAACATGTTAACAATTTATAAATATGTAGTATAGTTTGATATTTCACTCTTTCTATCCCTCTTTTGCTGCTGTTACCTTTCCCTGACCTAGATACTAATTACTGACTGGTGTTTTTCCAGTACTTGCAGTCCGTGCACCCATTGATGGATGAAGAAAAGTTCAGTCGCATGAAAAGCATGGCTCATGACTTCCAGAAAGACCTTGGTCGAAAGTTACAGAAATACCTGCATCTCAAGTCTTGGTGGGCAACAAATTATGTACGTGCAGTATAAATTTAGTTCATGGTCAATGGCTTAAACATACCTTCCAACTTTCTAGGTTTCAGAAACGGAGACACTTTTTTTTTAGCAGAAAGTATGTGAGCATAGGACACATCCTTTTTAGGTGCAGTGTGAAGAATTAATACACAAAAGATGCAAATTGGTGCAAAATTGTCCCTACTGCCTTTCCTTTATATTGGTTTTTAAAAATAATAAATTCAATAATACAGAAACTAGATGAAAGATTTAGTTTTGTATACTCTTTTTGGTAGTTGATTAATGCATTTTTTTTTTCACAAAGGTCTAAACATCAGACTAAAAAGAAGGACCTATAAGAAGGAAAAGGGGATTTGGTTCTAAATGAGGGTCAGTCCTTCCATATGAAGGACAGTTGGGAGCTATGGCTTAAATGCAGTTAAAGTGCATGTTATCCTAAATACTGTATTATTTTTTTTTCTGTGTGTGTGTGTTTACATATGTTTATTTCATATCTGAAGTATCTGGTTGATCCTACCAGTCACCTTTCTTCCTTTTTCTAAAGTGACCACAGAAAGCACATTAGCTGATCTGTGTTAGTGTGGTCAGTTTTCATACTTTGGCTGGTCATTTGGAGGTACAAGACAAAGTGCAGACACATAGCATGCCTGTGTTGGGTAGGTTGTTCAGTCACCATGCCCAGTTACTAGTCACAGCCTGCCTCTGACGCATATTCCCCCCTAATCACAGCCTGCATCTGGCCTCAATCTGAACAGACTCAGGCACACTGTGTGTCTGCACAGTGTCCTGTAACCCTGCACCCCACTATCAGGAAGAAGAGATGAATAATCACGTGACAGAGCTTTTTAACCTTGTAAAAAGGCAAGACAGATCATTTCTGAAACTGAGCAAAAACAGTTATGTTACCTGCATAGTTGTAAACTGTATTAGAAATTGTCTATAACACTGTGCACATAACTAATTTATTACTGTGTGTATAATAAATAGAAAAAAAAAAACAGGTGGTTAGGTACCAGTCTTCTATAATACAGTCATTCATTGTTATATAAAGACGCTCTGTTATTTTTTTGTATTTTGTATTTAAAATATTTCCACATTTCTTGTACCTGTATTTTTTTATTTACATTTTTATTTTGGCTTTCATTTAAATAGTATCTTAAAATTATTTTTAATTTATTGAGAGCACTGTTTTGAATTTATTGTATCATCACTATTTGTATATGATCTAAAGCATTTACAGGTGTGTTGTGTAACAGAAAAGGATCACTTAAAGTAGAACTAAAAGCAAAACCTTGCTTTTCATTTTGGATAGTGTAAGGGAGGGTTATAACCCCAGTCAGGTTTTTTTTTTTTGCCATTTGTGTTCCATTGTAAGGGATTATACACCTAACAGGTGTTCTAATCCATCTCCACTATGTCCAAAATTAAAAAAAAAAAAGTTTTGCCTTTAGTTATACTTTAACAGTGTAAATGCAATTTAGGGTGTACTCTGGTCAGTTCTACAAAGCAGGAATGTGGAGTTCAGAGTCTTATATTTGCATTTATCCCTACTGAAGGCATATTTGATGGCATTGCCATTGGCCATTAGTATACTAGTTGTGTGTTATAAATTGATTTAAAGTGTTCAACCACAATTCTTTTGATGTTTTGGAAAGAGCGGTGAAGGGTTGGACCCCTAGGTTACTTTGAGTTATGTTGGCATATATCATCATATATGCTGAAAACATGTATTCTATAGTTCTTTCTTTTATTTTTATTTTCAGGTCAGTGACTGGTGGGAGGAGTACATATACTTACGTGGCCGAGGGCCAATTATGGTGAACAGCAACTATTATGCTATGGTGAGATCAACATTTTCACTTTTTTCCATGGTTGACCTATGTAAGCACAAAAGTAACAATAGCACCACCAGTAAATCATTTTCGTATGACTTTAGATTACCAAACATTGCATTTCTATGTAAAGACTTTTTTTTTCCAGTCATAGCTTTAAAAATAAACTTGTGCCTACACCTGGTGCTTACTACAATTTTCATCTTGCTGACTTCAAAGAGTGTAGAATCTGTCAGACTAAAAAAAAAAAAAGCTCAATGTAATTATGCTTATCAATGTGTATTAATATAGGTAGAAAAACTAGCACAGTTTATTTAGAATTTTTTCTTTAATGTATTTACTGCATTTTTACCTGCAAACCGAGCTATCTAAAACCCAAAAAAGAACCCCATAATTTACTACTGTAATGCAGACAAGCTGATATACAGTACAGTAATAAATCTGCTGCTCTTTTTACTTTTACTGGCAATGGGAAGTGCTTTGGTAAGGGTTAAAATACCACTGTGGCCCTCACATAAAGCATTGTCCTGCGGTCTAACACATTTCCATACCCCTGGACACTGCCCCAATAAACCGCATTCTCACTCCCACAGCATTGCTTCTTCATTGGTGCTCTGTTGAACCAGAAGAGATGGTCTGGAGCTATGTGTAAGAGAGCCGTGGTTTGATTCTCCAGAGTGCTGCGGTATTTTGTCCTTTATCAGAAAAAAAATGTTTTAACTGGTTAGAAACTCTTACATACAGTATACCCAGTGAAGTGACTGGCCTCAGGTAATGAGCACTTGAAGACCACACAATATCAGTTTTACTGCTACAGGGCGGTCCTCCTGTGCAAATCCACGTATATATACGTGATTCTGCACTTCCGCCTCACGAGGCACTGGTGCCACCAGCGCATCGATTCTTCTGTGAACTGTCACAGCAGAAGCCGATCTCTGAGTCCCAATGAACGGATGTTCACTGGCACCTGCAGATCATGGGGCAAGGAGGAACAACAGAGCTCTGTCTATGTTTACATAGGCAGAGCTCTGTTCTGATGGAGTGAGTGATCGATCATGTGCCAGAGCAGAGTTGAGAACACGATCCATCACTTCCCCTTGTACCAGCACCACTTAGTGTACACCAAGCACATAGCTAGGCACGCACTTAACCCTTTGATCACCCTAGATGTTAACCCCTTCCCAACCAGTGTAATTGGTATAGTGATCAGTGTATAATTTTAGCACTGATCACTGTATTAGTCTCACTGGTTCCCACAAAGTGTCAGTGTAAAAATGTCCGCCGCAATATTGCAGTCCATCTATAAGTCGCTGATCACCATCATTACATTATTAGTATTAAAAAAAAAATTTCCAGTATATGTCACCCAAAATATGTAGAGAATACATTTTGGCCTAAATTTGATTTTTTAGATTTTTTTCATTGGAAATGTTTTATAGCAGAAAAAAAAAATATAGGGGTTTTTTTTTTTTTTTTTACAAAATTGTTGGTCTTTTTTTTCTTTTCTTTTACAACACAAAAAGTAAAAACCACAGAGTTGATCAAATACCACCAAAACAAATCTCGATTTGTGGGGAAAAAAAGGACATAAATTTCATTTGGGTACAGTGCTGCTTAACTACAGATATTCAGTTAAAATAACGCATCGCTGTATTGCAAAAAATGACCTGGTCAGCAAGGGGGAACTGAAGTGGATACACAGATTTAAAAAAATCCTCCTACATATGTTGTCTGCATTCTTTTCCTCTCTACATCTGTTCAAAGTGCTGAATTTAAAAAGCTTGTCTGGGAGTTCATAAAAAACGGGTGGAAAGCTGAAGTTACACTCTGCAGAGCTCATTGAGAGCCCTGACAGCTGATTTGGATGAAAGAGACCCCCCCCCCCCCCCACACACAACTCTCAGGAAGAAAGCTGAGGCTGTCAATCTGCTGGAGGTCCCTCCCCTGTCATCATTTTTTGCTTGGTGTCAGGAAGACTTGTCTGGAGTGACTCAATCTGATAGAAGGAAGGAGACGACAAACAGAAATGTCACTTAGTTCTCCTAATTGAGACAAATACACACATAGAGGGATATGCTTTGTTTATATGTCATGTCTGCGGTTTACAACCACTTTACATTTTAATGTATGTGTGAATGAGAAGTAGACTGAGTTATCTTATTTTTTATTATACTTTATGCTATTTATTGTTCAAACATCTTAAGTATGCAATGTTTTTACATCATTGTCTAAACTTCTGACATGATTAAATTTTCATTTTAGGATTTTCTAACTGTGAGTCCAACCACTAACCAAGCAGCAAGGGCAGGAAATGCCATACATGCAATGCTACTATACCGAAGAAAGCTTGAAAGGGGCCTTATACCTCCTGTGAGTGTATTTAGTGAATAATGCATCAATGGCAGTACAAAACGTAATGTATAATGCTGCACCCAATACGATAAAGAAATATTTACTATCACGTGTATAATAATGTTAGGCCATGCCTAACAAGCAGTTTTGTGGAGATTTTATCCAGAATATTACTTCTGGGTTATGGTACTTACACCATGGTGTAGGTTATATTCATTATGGAAAGAATCTAGCTTTATTCAGTAGATAGAGTGAAGAAGGGTAGAGCACCTAGATGAAAGAAAAAACTACAATGGTAATTTATAACATGACATGCAGGGGTAATGGGGATTTTATTGACTTTCTGCTAATTTATATTCCTTTGTGACCAGGTCATGGCTCTTGGCATTGTCCCTATGTGCTCCTATCAGATGGAGAGGATGTTTAATACTACCCGGGTTCCAGGAGTGGAGACTGGTGAGTGTGTTATGACACAATACAAATGAAATATAGCAGAAGATCACATAGCACACAGATGAAGAACCTCAAATGCAGGACATAACACTTTGTAGTGGAAACATTTCATTCCATCATCAGTTTTTAATAGACAAACCCAGTGTAATGGTCCCAGTACCCTACAATCAAGGAGAAGGGAAGCTCTTTTAAAGAGATCTTGTAAAAAAAAGATATGGGACCTGCCTTTGCTAAATTGTTTTTAAAGGTGTTGGCATCAGGCCCAGACTGGCCATTGGGCACAGAGGGCATTTTCCTGGGGGGGCTAGGCCAGATTAGGCCAGTATAGCAGAGGGGCCATGACTGGCCTTGTGGTAGGAAGGTGTGATGAATGGTGGGGGGGGGGGGGGAGTTGATCACAGACAAAATGATCATTGATTCTGAAGGTTTCACGATAGAACAAATGTTCCGCTATCTATTTTTCCATTTCACACAGGCGGACTCCGCCAAGCGGATCCACCTACTCAGCAGGGAATCTGCTGATCCCCGCTGAGCATGTGGATAACAGGTCCATGTCCTGTCCTGGCTATCATGCTTATGCAAAGCAGACAAGGTCACAGCCTGCTGTTCTCTATGGGAAGGTCGATGTAAATGGACCACCTGTCCATTTGCATCTGACCGTCATCCAATCCACCAGACGAATGGGGAACAATCCCCATCCATCTGTTTTTATCAGATTGGATGAAGGCAGGTGTATATGGACAGGTGGTCCATTTACATCCCACTGCCCCATAGAAAACAATGGTATTTATGTGGATATGAGTGTGTTCGTGTGCATGTAAATGCAGGGGGGGCAGGTGTATTTATGTGGAAGTGTGTGTGTGTTTCCCCCTCCCATCCACCCAATGATTCTTCTCTTTTAACTCCCCCTCCCCCGCCTGACATTTCAGAATGGGCTGCACAGTCTACAATGCCCGGGCCTATTTTTTGTTCCGGTCTGGGCCTGGTTGTCATCCACATCTTTTGTGCAAAACTTGGTGAGTCATTGATCTTACCTCCCATACACATTCTTGTTCTGGATCAATTAATGACAAAGTTGTGAGACCACAAGCAGGATGATGACTGTTCATCTGCAACAAGTGAGCATGACCAGTTCCCATATTTCTATCTTGACATATTCTCTTCAAGCAAGATCCCTTTTAAAACATGGATTCTGCCTCCATGTTATAGGAAGGTTCTGCTTCCATGTAAACATTTTATACTCCTGATAAGTGCCTGCTGTACCATGTAAGTATCCTGTTCCTATTGCTTCCTTTTTGTGAAATCCCTGGTGTTCCTGCCAGTCTCTCTGCTTTCTTATTAAAAATTGACTACACCAGGCATGAGAGCACAGCATGGTAAGTTCTATAGCTGTGCTTGGAACTCAGTGTGCTTTCCTCCAATGATCAGGCTTGTGCTCGCATGCCCCCCTCCTCCTGCAAAGCCTTTCAATGGGAAGTTCAGTGAGCTGCTGTTTCTCCTCCCCCCAGCTCTCTGTTCTAAACTGAATAATTAGCTTAGAGGGTATGTGATCACTTATAAAATAGGGTAAAAAAAGGTTTTTATAATGTTTTTTATATCTATACATAAATGTTTTCACTTTTCATTTCTATTTTAAACTGAATGGGTTGTTTTACAAGGTCTAAGAAACTTTAATATACATAAATGCAAATATGTTAGAAAAGACATTGTCAACAATTAGATTTTTGATCATTTTCTGACAGTTTTGACACAGTGTGCAACAGTGTACTTCATTATGCCTATAACAGCACAATACTATCTACCTTACAATCAAAATGTGTGAATAGTGGATAATTATTAGACATGTGCATTTTGTTTTACTGTGATTCATTTTTCACACAAAAATGTAATTTTTGGTGATTTAGATGTATAGAAATCTCCAAATGGACATAGAAAATTTTTTGGATTCATGGACAAAAGTTACTAACAAAATTAACAAATGCACTAATTTCATTAAGATGAGGTTGCATGATGCAAACCTCAGTTTGGGCACATGGGGAAATTAATTACATTTTCAAATTCATTTGATAATTAGGATTCGGATAACGAATGGATCTGAATTTTGTTCCATTCGTTAATGCAGATGCATGTGACACCAGTCAATATTGTTCAGTCAGCTCATTTTTTTTGGTAGTTTGGACTAGCATGCGAAAATATTGAATCTTTTCAATTCAAATCTGTCCAATTCGATAATATATATTGAATATATAGCAATCTTCCAGGAAAAACAAAAATTTTTAAAATCCCCCAGGACCAACAAATATACAAAATAATTCCGAAGATACAAAACAAAATCCACAAATGAATTGGTTATACATAATGAATATGACTAAATTAAATTCTTCAATGAATGAATGCATACAAAATTTCCGGTGTGCACATGTCTAATAATTATTATTAATGAAAAACAGCACAAGAATAACTAAACCTCAGACAATAATGTGTGAATATACTTGCCTTCTCTGTACACTAACACATCAGTTTATTCTATTAGAACTATTATTTGGTCATATGGACAAGCATAAACACAATCCAATGTATAATTTTTTTCTGCAGACTTCCTTCAGCATCTGGTAGAAAGTCGGCATATATGTGTGTACCACAAGGGCCGCTTCTACAGGCTATGCCTATATGATGACAGGACCCTGCTTAGCCCTCGGCAGTTGCAAACACAATTTCAACGCATTCTTGATGATCCGAGCCCACCACAACCAGGCGAGGAAAAACTGGCAGCACTCACAGCTGGGGATCGGTGAGATCAGGGAAAAGGGGAATAGACTAGGAAGATTCATAGGCATGGACAGAACATTAAAATACATTGTAAAAATAACATCTCCCTTTTTGTTTGTCTTCTTTTTTTTTTCCTTCCTTTATACACCTAGCACTTGTTGAAACTATTCCTTTTTTTTTTTTTTTTTGCTTTCAAATGACGTAACAGAGTCTCTTGGGCTAAGGCTCGCTCGGATTTCTTCAGTCAAGGTGTGAATCGGGTTTCACTGAGCTCCATTGAAAAGGGAGTCTTCTTTGTTTGTCTGGACCCCGATGCCTTAGGACATCAAGAGGAGGATAAGAACTCTCTCAGTGTATATGCTAAATCGTTGCTTCATGGGAATTGCTACAACAGGTAACATGAAATTGTGTACACAATATATTTTTCTGCGCTGAGCCAAAAATATATATGTGTGTATAGACTGCTGGAACTAAATTATCTGAATACTAGACATAATCTTAATATAAACCAAACAGTGCGCTATCTCTTTAAATGATGAATGCCAATATCAAACAATTAAATGACAAGTGAAAAACAAATATTACAATTCATATGCATATAAATAACCAAAATATACACAAGTGAATGAATGAATGAATTAATAAATAAATAAAAAAGTCCCAAAATCAATCGTGAAAAAATGTGCTCCATGCTGTTAAAACTGCATATAAATTGCTCCTGTGCTCCAAATTGCTCTTGAGAGAAAAGGCACGCCTCTTACCAGACTAAAATGATCTCATGTTATAGAGATCAAGCGAGCATATGCATCCAAAATTCAGGCAGGCACTCTCACTGTCAGACCCCCGGGATGTTAAATGCCTTCATCACAGAAATATATGGCCGCAGCTTCTGTGTAACGTCATCGTGCACCGGTGTGCGGACTGACACCGTGGCCGGATGTGTTTACAGGATTTGCTGACTTTATGTATACAGCTGAATGTAAGTGCAGTACTTGTTTTAATAAATAATTGATTTTAAACATACTGCACTATGAGCTTTCTCCATGCTTGAATTTTGCACTTATGGTTATGACGAGCGACATGAGATGCTAGAGCTGATCTGGCGGCGGGAACTTATGTTCCTGCGATGAAGTCATTTATTGTCCCGGGGCTCTGACAGAGTACCAATCTGAATTTTGGATGGACGCCCATTTGATCTCCATAACATGAGATCATTTTAGTTTGGTAAGAGGCTTGCCTTTTCTCTCAGGAGAACTTTGGAGCACAGGAACTTTAATGACATTATCTATTTTCTTTTTATTGTTAATTGAGAATAGATTCTAAGGACAACTAGATATTATACATAAAAGTAGTAATTATGTGTGTTTTGCTAAATATGATATGCCTATGTGCACATATATGCAAATGAGACAAGCCACTGTCTGTAAATAAAATTTGTGCGCTTGATGGCTTCTTCAACTGCTCAGTTTTTTTTCCCCTCTATTTCATTGCAGGTGGTTTGATAAGTCCTTTAGTCTGGTTGTGTTCAGTAACGGGAGGCTTGGTCTCAATGCTGAGCATTCCTGGGCTGACGCTCCGATCGTTGGACACCTGTGGGAGGTATTAACATACTGTAATTGATGTGACTTACTCAGGTCTATATAAACAAACTTAATATTGTATCTGAACTGACTGTGTATAGTTCTCATATACTCTGTGCTTTTTAAGATGTACATCAGTGGTTGTCAACTCAAATGCGGCCCCTGACATCACCAAAGGGCTGCACATGATGTTCAATATATAGAATGCTTGAGAAGACTGTCAGAAACTGCAGACCTTATAGAGGAAATGAGGGTCAGAGAGTGTGGACATGATACATTTTTAGCTTGGAATTTTCTACAGAAGACAATACGAAACTGGGAACATATTACATGAGGCTTGTACTATAATCTCAACAAATTGCTATAAGTGCTACTAATGAAAATGACAATTTATAATAATCTTATACATATAAATTATAAACTCATAAATCAATTAAAGTGCTATAAAGTCCAGATTTAGTGCAATAATAAATCCATTAAAGTGCTGAGAAGTCCACATGTGGTGTAATAATAAAGTGTTTAATCCACAATTTATGTTACTTTTCTTCCACATATGTTGATAAAAGTGCTTTGTGCAAAAATAGTGCAAACATTTGTGCAAATCACAGTTCAATTGATTCACTATTGCCTTCAGTACTCCACTCCACCACTGTGTACCACCACCATTCCGGAAAACTTACCAGATAGCCATGACCTCTCATTAAAGAGATGGTAAAGATGCACTTTTTATACAGCAGATGTATTGCAACCAGGAATCCTCCTTATCTCGTTCGCAATATCACCAGGACCATCATAGAGTAAGAAGGAAAAGAGACTCCAATAGTGTAAAACCCTTTATTAAAACCACTCTTTACATTACAATCAACAGTTATTGCACTTACATTTATCAGTGCATTTAGCCCTGCACTTGGGAGTAATCCTATTGGAGGCAGAGCTGTAGGAAGTGATGTCATTCTGACCTGGCGGAGGCACCTGGAAGTGGTGAGGAACACCTGTATGGTGCAGCAGACTGAGCTTGCACTAGGGACAGTGGAGCTGGCCAGCCATTAAACCTTTAAATGTTTACTTTAATGTGCCTGTAGATTGCTTTCAGTATTTTAGCAATATAACCACCTGTTTATGTTTTGTCTAGCCAGTTTGTCAAGTTTCATGACACTATTTTTTTTTGTTATCCTTTTCACCTCTAGTTTTTCACCCTGTACTTCAAATCTGTTATTTATTGCTTACTTCATACTTTATATGCTCTATATTCAATTTCAAAATGCATATCATACATATTATGTTGTGTCTGTTTCTGCCATAGTTCATGCTGGCCACTGATTGCTTTGAGCTAGGTTACACAGAGGATGGGAATTGCAATGGAGATCCTGGACTCTCATTACCTCCACCCTACAGATTACAGTGGGATATTCCAACAAAGGTGGGTTTTTTTTAAAAAAAAGAAACCAAATTGTGGAAGTTGTACCAAAAAAGGCATGAAGAGGGCAAAGGACCAGTCACCAGTATTGCCAGTGGTCTCCCTGTAGCTGATCTTTTTCCATTACTGACTTACCATGGCACTGTGTCTCTGTGTGGAGGTGACCATCTTGGTAGACACAGGGTTTTGCTTCCTTGCATTAGAACTGAGTAGTTGATAACGTGTGGTTATATTTTAGAAGTAACAGAAGAGGTTTAGAAATCACAGATAAAGCAGAAACAGGGGAATCTTTGTACTGCAGGTTCTCAGGAACGGCTTTCCCTCCAGCTCATAAAATGGTGAGCAGCACAGTAGTGATATCACCAAATCTAATACAAATGTTACGAGATGAGGAGTCACAGGAACAGTGCCTTAGATTATCCCACAACACAGATATAGTTATATGAGGATAGAAATAGGAATGTGTAAGTACAGGAAGTACATTGCATTTTCAGGAGGAAATTATGACAAAAGTTACATTTTCAGTGTACTGCTTAGGCGCAATGAACACTTCTACATGATCCATATTAGATAGCATATCTTCACTTTTTGAATTCAGATCCACTTTAGGTGGCAGCAGCAAAACAGATTTCAGTTGGCTCTAATCATTCAAAGTAGAGCACAGAGTGTTTGCACACTAGCTTTCTTACCCCTATTACAAATGGTTCCCCCTTATTCTATAACACTTCCCCTTTCCACGTACTGTACATAATAATGTGAACTTCTCCAAAGCAGTGAATTATGTATATTCGGTGAGTTAATTATAATTAAGCCTTCTGTCCTCAATCTTGTGCTTAATTTTGCTGTTCTGCTGCTGGCATGCAACAGTTAATAGTTACAAAAGATCACTTATAACTGAAGAGCAGAGGAATAAATAAACTATTCACTTTTGTGTACCCTTCACTGAAAATGTACAATTCCCACCAATGGAAATCCATTTTATACCCAATTCCTGGCTTGTACTAGACTGTCGGGAGTTATTCCGGGTTAGGTTGCAAACATCTGCAAGGATTCAGAAATGTTGAGCTGTTGGCTTGAAAAAAAAAAAACAATGGCACGTAGGAATATTAATTAACATTTATTTATATAAGATGTATATGTGTTCTATTTTAAACATTACTTTATGGATACATTGATGCAGACTAGTGTTTCACAGTTATTCCACTCTTTAAAATTCTTCACAATCTCAAGGCACCCCATTCTACATTGTAAAAACTTAACTAGTCAGTAACGTGACAACATTAGAGGTGATTTATTCTTCCAAAGCAAATACACCGTTGCTCACTGGTACTGGATAGTATTGCAATATTTCTCTCCCTCACTCAGCTAATGTGACCCCAGTGCTGATGAAGTACAAAGGAGGAGCAAATAAGGATGCTGTGCTTGCTAAGATTCCGGTGGCTGTAAGGTTGTAATGGTGCACAATGCAAATCTGTGTCTCTTTGTAACTAAAAGGCAGACTTGATTAACCCACTGACTTGAATACAAGTTTTGGGCAGTTTTTAGGCATTTTGTCAAGGCACCCTGGAAGAAACCTGAAGGCACCCTGGTTGAAAAAGGTTGATGTAGACCCTCACTCATTAAAGATTAATTATCATTGATTGATTATTACCTGTCTTTGTCATTTTATCCTGTTTCATGAAGTAATCGGTTCCTTGATTAACAGGCTGACTTGTACTGTACTCTTTGTCAGGCAAAACTAACTTCAATAGTGAAATTTATTTTTGTCTAGTGTCGTGAGGTCATTGAGCACTCGTACTTCACAGCCAAGACACTAGCAGATGACGTGGACTTTAACTGCCTTCGTTTCACAGATTTTGGGAAAGGACTTATCAAAAAGTGTCGGAGCAGCCCTGATGCTTTCCTGCAAATATCACTACAGCTGGCTCACTACCGGGTTTGTAAAGAGTTCCTAAAGCACTATGTCACCATGTCATAGAAAAATATCTAGAAGTTATCTTTGTTTCTTGGGTTTTTCATTTGCTTTCTTTTCAGTGCAGGCCAGTAGATGCTGTCCTACTACGTTCTTAAACACCACCACCCAATCAGTTGTTTTTCAGGGTCTAAACATGGAAGCTTCAAAGCTACAACACTTAGAAATAATTTTTTGATGACACACACACCAATAAATGCAGAAATGTCATCACCTACTGTGACTTAAAGGGTATCACCATGCCAAACTTTTTTTTTTAAAATTTTGGAATAGAATGGATAAAAGCTACAACTTATGGCAGGTTTTTACAGCTGTGTGGTATTCTGGGAAGATATTCCTCTCGTTTCCTGCCCTGGAGATAGCATTGTCATAACACAGCAAGAATAAAAACACTTTTTATTTTAGTAGTGGAGACTTCTAATTTCTATCTGTGTTCACATGGTTCTAAACTTTCCCCAGATGCAGCTTCAAGTCATTGAACCAAATGGCTCTATAACATTTAGCTACATCTGTGCTGGATGCATTTTGTTCCAGGGACACATAGGAAGGATTTGCATGGTTCTAAACACTTGTAAAGTGAGGAATAAAGTCCTTCTTTTTTGTATACGTGATAATGGCAATTTTAGGTTCTTGTTTCTTTTGGCCCAGCTCACTATGATCTGTTCTACATTCTTGGTTCTCCTCAGGCCCTACTCTATAGAAGCCATAGTTTCCATATACTGCACTGATGGCTAACAAGCATGAAACAGCTGTATGCTGTAATGATAGGCTGTATCTATTCTATAAGCCTGTGGATGCACAGTCACCCCAGTGTTGAAGGAAATGTTTTGCATAGATCTACTTTCTATCCTACAGCAAGGAAGAAACCCTTTATTTTTGGGATGTTTGATGGAAGTGATCTGGTAGTGAAGTGATGTTATCTAGATACATACTGTTTTAGGAAGCCTCAGCTTTGCCCTTATGGGACTACAAAAGAAGTTTACTAAGGATCTATCATGAAATAATGAGGCTTAAATGAATTGTAGTTTCTTAAAATATCATTTTGTGTGGGGGTGAGACACACTTACTTTCTTTCTCTGGTTTATTGATATCACAGGATAAAGGGCACTTCTGCGTCTGACTTATGAAGCCTCTATGACTCGTTTATTCCGTGAGGGTCGAACAGAGACCGTGAGATCCTGCACCAAGGAATCCTGTGATTTTGTCAGGGCCATGGAGGATCCCAATGAAACTGTAAATACCAAGTCCTTTTTGGAATTAGTTAACTTGTCTTATAACATGTTGATTTCATTTAGACTTTCAACTGTCTTAACACAGAGAGAAAACCGTCTGGCATTGTACCGAGCAGCTGCTGAGTGTCACCAACTCATGTATCGTTTGGCGATGACAGGAAAAGGCATTGACCGACACCTTTTTTGTCTCTATCTTGTGTCTAAGTACCTGGGAACTGAGTCTCCCTTCCTTCAACAGGTGAGAATATCTGTCATTAAAAATGTTATCATGTTATTGTTATTTGTGTGAATGTGTAATCTGTCCTGTAATCTGTGTTTCTTTTTATTGTGGCTTTCAATAAAGGGGAGCTAAAGGTAAAATTGTATGCTATATTAGCATGTGAAGTCAGTCATAACTTCTGTATATTCTTTGCTGCTGT